ATGGAATTTAGGACTAAGTGCACATGATCACACTACTGAGCACAGATCGGCTAAGTGTATACTTCATGCAGACTTCTTTTCTCGCTGTTCATTATTTGAAAATTCTGCTGATGACACTGACTATTTGTTAGTCCAGTCGTCACATGTGGATAGAGTTCGACTTATTCACGATACTCGGAAATATTAAGGATGCACTATAAATTCAACGAAAGGAGGCTGGAATATTCAGTGTAGGCAAAGATTTCTGGACTTTCACAAGCGAAGAGATGAGATTTCAGTCGACCCTGAAGGATTTCTATGTCTGAATGACAGAATGATTATTTCTCCGACACTAATGTGTCCGATTTTGGATGATCTTCATTCTGGTCATCTGGAGCTGATAAGGTGAAATCGTCAGCACGCCTAACGTGGTGGTGGTGGAAAATTGATGCTGACACTAACGAAAGATGAAAGAGCTCTTCCAGTTGTTTGCATAAAATGTCCTATGAAAAGTCATCGTGGAAACCGTGGCCTGCCTCTTGTGAGGTCCGGAAACGCATTCATGCAGATTATTGTGGTCCATTCCCAAATTCATATTGTGCTTCAGTTATTGTGGATTCTTATTCTAGATGGCCAGAAGTCATAATTACAGATAGTCTTAACGCAAAATTCACTACCAGAGCTTTGAGGAAGATGTTTAGTCGAGAAGGAATTCAAGATGTCTTAGTTACTGATTATGGTACTCATTTCACTGAGAAGAACTTCAATGATTGGTTGGCTTGCACATGTAGGTTGTCGTCATCTGCACCACGTCATACTCAGTCTAACTGGTTGGTAGAAAATTGTGTACGAACATTAGCGAGTGCCATAGAATCAATGAATCCTAAGAATTTTGACAAGCTAGAGAGATGTGTAGATATGAACACACCTCAAAATCTGACACTTGACCATTCTACTTATTCTACACATTGTCACCTCAATGATATCCTCAGACAGCCGAGTCATCGTTTTTCACCCATTCAGGGCGTATCATATGATGTCGCTCAGCTGTCGTCTCAGAGTATGTCTATTAGATCTGTAGTTTTTTGATATAATTGTTCAGCCAATAGATATTCGGTTGGTTCGCTGTCAGAGTCCCTTGCTGCTTGTGGTTTACTGCAGGCCATCTGACTGATATTCACTGTCAGGCAAAGGCATCTGTTGATGGAAGTTGAAATCCTATCGAAAGTGAATTTTGAGGCGTATGCGACAAATCTTTGAACCTCACTGAAGGAAAGACTCTACATCAGTGTCAAAAACTAGAATTCTTTTCTGTGTGTTTGGTGCTACAAATCTACCTACTGATTTCAGAGCAATGAACACTTGTCTACTTTCCCCGATCCTAACTGGTTCACTGACTGACTAACTAGTTGACTGACTGTCTGACTGTGACGTCCTCATCCATGGTGTCCGTGTTTGAAACGATACTGCCGAAGAAAGTGAAATAGAAAATTTCCTTTATGTTTCTCCCATTGATGTTGATTAGTGTTGTTTATTGCTAGTGGATAGGTATCTAATTCACCTCTCACTTCTAGATCTTATTCAGAGAGATGACTTTCCCTATGAACGACTCCATCTCTGTGTGATGAAGACACATCGTATGTGACTAACTTGTTCATTGCATACTCGAATTCGAGTATAATTCCACAATGCCTTATCTCTGTACTGTTGGTAGTTTGACGATTCCTAGTTCCAAAAGGAAATTCATTGATGGTGTGACAGGTGTCCTCACAGTTTTCATAAGTAATCAAGATGATGATGGTAATGACAGCTGAATCCACCACTAGTTCCTTCCCATTCTGGCCCGCTTTTCGGCGTCGTCTCAGTCATCATCATCCTATCTGTTATTCTGTTCCTAACAACTTTGTAAGTTGTTCTGTGCATACCTAATCTCAGTGATTTTGGGGATTCCACTGGTGAGGCGAATTCTACTCGAATTTGTCCACTGATTTTCTGTTCATGGGGACTGGTGAAATGAATAAATACGCACATGTCCTCTTGGTGCTTCGGTGGGATAGCGTTTAGAACGCCCGCCCACCATGCACATGGTCCAGGGTTCGATCCCCAGCCGACGCACACCTTTACCTTGCTAAGACAGAAGTACTGGTGTTAAAGTGGGGCGTTTTGGCATGAGGCTAGCAACCCCATCCTGTAAAATGAAAACTGCTACGAAAACTTCAAGCCACTAGATTGCAACTCTATGTTACACTGGGGAGCGTGAAGGAGCAAAAGAATTTCCTCTTGGATGTTTCATCGACTTACTCACATCGTCGTCGCTTATCCATTTCTTAACATGAAACAACACATTCTTATCTCCCACAGCCTAGCGCTCACCAAAAATGCAAGTCCATGTCTTCTCACTCTTCACATCACTTTATTGTTCAGCCCGGAATTTCAGTCACATGAGTTCAAGATACTCACAGTGAATAACTAGAGGGATCTGGGTATCTGAGTTGACAAACTGTTGCTATGTGTATCTCAATCGAATGACTCTGGAATCATTCTACCAACAATGTCATTTTCCATCATACAATGACATTTCCGACATGAATCATATTATTCACCGGACCAAGTTGAAATGTCTGTCATTGTGGTAGTATGATGGGGATACAATTCGAGGCTTGTGTATGTCATCGGTATATCTGAGTGTGTAGATGTCGATTCCGCCAAGCTGATCTCCACGACTCAAGCAACGCAGATCACGAAGGAGAAGTAGAACTTCTAAACACATCTGCAAACAGTGATAGGCAAGACTTCAGGGAGATGATGATATCAGAATCCTAATGAGCTATAGGAATGAGTGAATGGGAGAGAACTCATCGTGTGTCAATAGACTTTCGGAGGTATGACTGAAAATGGCGAACACTTCATTGATTTCTTCGGTCCTAATTATTTTCTGACTGGAGACTGCGTGTACAAGCTCAAGGACATGAACAAGACGACACAGGTTTCACACGATGTATAACCTGAAACTCAGCTTGACGTCACCTCAGCCTCAATAAAATGTTTTCGATACAAGATGGAGAAGAGTAGATGCCGGTCCATATTATTATATAGGACGCGAAACTTCCTGTGAAGTTGAGCTGGAAGCCTTCAAAGGAGCTGCAGCCAAACCACAATTCCAAACCAACATCCAGAAAATGACGGAGGAAGCCATGATAGAGCCATTCACTGCTGCCATCTGAGCGAATTTGAAGATATTTGCACGTCATCAACAAGGAAATCTGTATGGAAGGACACTCACTGTATGGAAGTCTCTGGAAGTGATGTCGACAGAAACATGGATAAGCGTTTTAGGAGGAAAGGAGGAGCAGGACAAGCAGTGACTGTCTACGGAGGCGGGGAAGCTGGTAGTTGAAAGGGTGAGTAGACCGTATGAAGGCGTATATATATAATATGGGTCAAGTACTGTCGAAAAGCAGAATCACACGATGATGGTGATGAGGATAGCAATAGAGACAAAACAAGTGAAGCGGAGTGAAATTGAGCGAAAATAGAATTAATAATACCAGGGTTGGATAAGGCAAGCCAAAAGAGAATTTCGAATACAAAATATGTTCTCTTGTGTTTGTTTCGCGCTTCCCCTCTGTATACAGAGGCCGTGAATGCGTAGAATTTGTGAGTAGTTGAACACATAGTAGGAGACAACTTCATCACAAGTCACTCGATAGCGAATGACCACAAATCAGAGATACTCGAGTGATACTCCAGCTATTGAAAACAAAGCTACCAGTGTCCCAATAAGCGTTTCCAACCAGCTGGCCAGGGAAGAGCAGAGCAATAAGATAATGGAGGATATCCATAGTAGTAAGAACAAAACGACAGTTCATCCCTTCCTCAGAGTTGAATACTCCGAACAACGAACATACAACAAACAAGTTAGCCACATAAGATGTGTGTTCATCACACACACACACACACAGATGAAGTCGTTCATACGAAAAATCACCTTCCTGAATAGATCTCTGTTCGCCTCCTCCTCTGTGTACATTGCATAAGCGGATGAATTTCATCAGATGTGTCATAACAATAACAGTCGAATTGGTGTGAGATGTCATCATTTCGGATGTCAACATGACACTACTGATTCAGTGAGAGTGAACTAGTTAGTTAGTGTTGTGTGAAGAATCATTTGTATTGTGTGTGAATACTGAATGTGACATCAATTACTGAGTGGTCAGTGAACTGAATCGTTGAGAGTGGAGAGTCGAATTCTCAGTCGTCTCAGAAGTCATCAGTCGAGTGTCGTGGACAGCAAAGCCATTCACACCCAACCCCCAGCCACACTCCCACCTCCAAACACAACTCGCCTAACCCAGTCATAATTCATTCTACTCAGTCACACAAACCAGTGCTCAGGTGTCGATGCAATCACACCCAAATTACACAATCATTCCACATAATATCGAATCCTCACATGTGAAACTCATCTCCGGAAAATACGACAAATTCTAATTACGCATTTCTCAATGAAGAAACACGAAAACCAATCGGTGATAATTCAAAACTAAATGATGGTGGTGAAAATTTCTCATGTACGTGAAAGTACGTGAAAACATGGTGAATCAGCTAGCTGGTTCACCTTCCAATCACAATCACACACTCCAACACACATATACGCACTTGCATGCATAAGCCAATTAGATCACACACACCACTAATACTGACCTCAAATGAATACAACTCACAGCACGTGTTTCACTATCTTTCACAGACATCAATTCAATTCATTTCAATTCTCTGTATACGTGAATTACTCTGATCACGTGAGCGCTTGTCCAGAAAGAATAAAAGCCACGCCACAAATCAACTCAGACTGAATCAGTCAGTCAGTGTGAGTGAGTGAGTCAGTGACACAGCCAGACTCGATCAGACAACCAGTCAGTCAGTCAGTCATTCAGCCAGCCAGCCAGCCAGCCAGCTTGTTTCTCTGTTTCACTGTGTGTGTGTGTTTCATTGTGCTTTCAGTGTCAACCAGGAGAATGAGTGAATCACAAGCCAGACAGAATTTCACCAAGGAATGTGAAGAAGCGCTGAACAAACAGATCAACATGGAATTGCAGGCTGCATACGAATACATGGCTTTCTCCACCTACTTCGATCGAGATGATGTCGCCCTCCCCAATGCAGCTGAATTCTTCCGAAACGCGTCACTCGAGGAACGTGAGCACGCTGAGAAATTGGCCAAGTATGTGGTTAAGCGTGGTGGTCGTGTTGACTACAGTGACATCAAGGCTCCATGTAAGACGGAGTTCACGGGTGTGGAGGATGCGATGAACACAGCTCTTGCAATGGAGAAGGCAGTGAATGAGGTGAGTGAATCACTCCGCGATACTCTTGATGATGTTGATGTTGTTGATTTGTTTTTGGTTTATTTTTTTTTTTTTGGTGGTGGTGGTCATTTTGTTGATCCATCCACTTGATCCATCCACATCATTTAAATTAACCTGTCGTCTAAGTGCATAGGACTGTCGTCTGAGTTGAGAAGACTACGAACATTGAGAAGATTCGGAATTCGTCTGTGATATGTGTCTTACTGGATGTCTTCAATTCTCACTGGAAACACTTATCTGTCGAAGTGAGCTGTGTTGCTGAATATTATTCACTCGAGTGTGAATACTGAACATTTATTAAATGACGACTTCCTACTAGTCGAAGTTATCGAATTCCGTAATGGTGAATATTGTGCACTGGAGTCAACTAACCTCATCGATCGACATCATCCTTACATCAATCCATCACACACACATGCAGATACTCACATACACACACACACACACACAAGAATTAATTGTCGCGAGCTATCACTCAGGCCTTTCATTTAGTTCATGCAGTCGACTTCATTTTGTTATTATTATTATTATTATTGTCAGTATTATCGTGATTATTTAAGTGATTCTGATTCTTCTCATTCTCTCGCGTCTACTCACAGTCACTGCTGAAACTCGATGAACTGGCTTCGAAGAACAATGATCCGGGATTGGCTGACTTCATCGAGAGTGAATACCTACATGAACAGGAGGATGGAATCAAGCAACTCGCCGACTATGTGACTCAGGCGAAGAGAGTTGGCCCTGGACTGGGTGAATATTTGTTCGACAAGTTGACACTGAAGGAGGCTGGAATTCACTGAGATTTCATTCGAGTCGTTTCATTGCTTTGAATCCGTGTTGTACAGTGTATATTAGTTTGTATGTGAGGAGGATGGTTTGTTAATTTCTGTGTCAAATATAATCTCTCCTAATATCATTTCTGTTCATCAGCTGACATGTCAGATAACACTGTGAAGGGGAGGGTCCACCTGAAATTTTCTGGAAGGAAGCGTGTGAGATGAATCTGTATCTGCTTGGCTGCTTTTGACAGTTCAACTTTTCGCTGTCCTGACATTCCTCATTTTCTTCCTCAGGTATCTGTACACCTCACATTTGGGAATATCAGCGGTGATAGTAGGCAGTCTTGTCCTGTTTCCATCTTCGGTTAAATCTCTTAGGTGAGCTTTGTGTTGTGAGTTACTTGGTATGTGGCTTCATCATATAGCCAGACATAATATGTTAGGGCTAATTATACTAACCAATTTTGTAGGCTAAATTAGGTGGAGCAAGATTACAAAGCACAGCACATTGACTGAAAGTCTAGTGTTTATGGCGATGAGGAGCATCTCCACTCAAGTGGAATGCCATGGTTCGAAAAGTTGTACGTAATCGTCATTGCGGTGAAAGTGAGTCGAATGACGAGTAGCATGTTGCTTTTAGTAATTTGGTGTGTAAAGTCTCATTGGAATAAATGCATGATTCGTTTCGAAAAAATGTTGTTAAGTAGGTTTACTGTTTGCAATCTGTTTGTCTAAGTTACTTTCATGTACTCATCTCTGCCTCCTGGTACAAATACATCCTATAATACTCACAACATTTGGTTAGAATATGATCAATTGGTCACCTATATTTTAGCTTGATTATAGCACGCTAACTGGTTTGTGTACAAAGATGTAGTTAGATAGTCGGCTTGTGAAAAACATTCAGGATAGGCATACTGAAACGGGTCTACTGTGTGAATGAAATGTTTTCACACCGGAATAGCCTACCGATTTCAGGACACTCGAAAGGAAGAAGAAATCGCATTATTACGAGAAGCTTTTATGTTGTTGGCTCCAAGCAAATAATTTATCTCAGTTTAACTTCCACAAGTTATGGTAACGTTTGTCTGAGATTAATAAGACGCATGCTTTCTGATTACGCATTCGGATCACTGTAATCCTATCTTGTGTCTCCCATCTGCTTACGTGCAACTCTCTTCACCTCCAACTTTATATATATAAGAAATATCATTACATATGATCATCTATCGATGTTAGCTTTGATGTTGGATACTGTTCAATCGAATATGATGTAGACAGCTCTTGAGATGGTGGATGCAGTGACTGGTTTGAACAAATCAGTTGATGATGATGATGATCTTAGTAGAAGTAATTTTGTTGGACAGTTTGACGGAGTTGAAATGACACGATAATGAAATCTTCTACAATGAGGTATTCATTCAGAGCATCTCGTCGCTCTTTGCTTAGGTGAATTCCATTCACGTAATTTCCTCCGTCGAATGGTAAACGTGAGCAAAACACAACCCAGCAATTCATCGCACACGAATCACAATCCAAGTGATTGTGATCATGTCTATGTTTTACAAGTGTTTCATTCATGGATTCCATTGATCCAACCATCTCTCTCTCACATGTTTGTGGAATCCAGCGCTATATTTTGTTTGCACTGCAATTTATTTGTATTAACTTACTTCGCGACTTATTTCCTGTATTCTGATTTGTACTGCGATTGTGCTTAGCCTTTCAATGTTCTCTTGTCTCTGCCCTCGCTATGCAACAACATACACTTTCTTTCTTTCTATCATCCTGTGTGTCTGCCACTAATCAATGAAATATTTTGTATTGACCATGGTTACTTTGTCGATTATCTAGTCTTGCTTATGTGTATGAATTCGGTTTAAGTGACAGTGGCCTTGCTGTTTCCCAGTCTCCACTTATGCATTCACTTGGTGTATTCTGGACGAAGTATGCGGTGAGTTGACTTTCATCTCCCATAATTTCAGATGCATTCCTTCTCACATTCGCTTAATGGACGAAATCAATGAATGGATTTCGATGTGTTTGGAGGGCGAATTTCGCGTACCTGAAATATCACACATCATTCGTATAACTTCATTTGGATCGTCGTATGTTCCAGTTGAGATCCACGGTTATCAGCTCACTGTTTGCAACAGACCGATCATTTCACCTAGGTTGACGATGCGGAATGATACTTAGAGATAGTTGGTTATTCTGTGGTACCTGTGTGAATTCCACTTTTGCAACAGCTCCGAGTTGGCTGGACATCTGGCTTCAACAGCGCCTTACACTGTCCTCTCTATAGGTGCCCTTAGCTGGGTCCACGATTTTCTATGGCCTTCCAGTGGTCTCCACACACACTCTCCCATTTCATTCGAGAAGCCCCAACTCATCGTTTGTAACTTGTGCTCTACTAGAGGGTCTGTCACATGGTGTCACATAACGGTTGGCTAAGCGTGTGAATCGACACAACTCCGTTTTGTTTTGCATATCTGTTAGGCAACAGATTTTCGGTTGGTTCGTTCGTTGATTGAGAATAGGAACTGTGGTGATTGACAATTTCTGTCACTGTATTGTGTAAATGCTTTCTGTCGTTTGTTAATATATTTTTTTTATTAATTAACACCGAATCAATAATATTAATACATTACAGCTCAATAGCGTCAACATAAAATAAGCTGATTGTCGGAAACATTATCAAACTTGATATAACAAATTCATGAATTTATAGTCTTTGCTGAAAGCCAGGGCAGTATTAGGGTTTGGACTTGCTTCTTTTGAACACAGAGCACTGGTTGTTTTAGGCGAATTGCAATAGCCTCTGCTGTCTGGAGCATGCGGTGCTTCGATGATTTTGGCAATTTACTAGTCACCCAGTAGATTATAGGGAAGGATTGTTCCAAACGCTGTCTTTGTGGCTGGTTTGCACCAGACGGTCCAGTATCGAACTGTTAGTGGTTTTCACTACACCTTTACTCAGCCATAGTGGGAGATGTTCTCGAGCACGAGAAATCCAGTTCCTACAGCAACGGCCAATATAACTTGCTCCACAAGCGCAGTTGAATTGGTTGACACAATTGGAAGTGGCTAGTCTAGGTACTTCATCTTTCAGTCAAGGAATCACCATCGGTTGTGTAGAGAATAATACGTATAGTTCGCCAGCATTAAACGTTCTTTGAACTAATTTTCTTAACTTCTTCGTAATTATTTCACTTGATATATCACCCTTGAATTGCAGTCGTATATAAAGAATCTTCTTGTTTACAGATAGTGAGTAGTCGTTTTTCGCTTTCTTTGTCATGTATTTCTTCATAAATTTTTCGGGATAGCTATATTCGATCAAAGTATCATATACAATGCTTAATTCATCTTCAATTGCTTCTTCTGGGCATATAGCCCTAACTCTTTGGCTGACAGTCTTCATTAGATTTCTTTTGTACTTGTTAGGAATGAAGCTGTGAAAATGTGTATATTGTCCTGTCCAAGTAATTTTTCTTTGCGAATTTCTTTTTATGCTACCATCTGGTTTTCCTGTAAAAGGACATCCAGAAAGGCAATTCTGTCTTGGGATTCCTCTTCGCATGTGAATTTCATAGCCGAATGTACTTCATTGAATTCAGTAATTATTGTACTGCTATCCGAATCGTTATTACAAAGAATGAAGGTGTCATCCATATACCGGCGATAAAATGAAAGCTTACTGATAAGGTTGTTCAAAGGTCCATTTTCCAGCTTACTTAGAAAGAAATCAGCCCAAATGGGTTCCAATGGAGAGCCCGTCGCCACTCCATCCACTTGCCTTCAAAGCGTGCCGTCAAATTTGAAATTTACATTCATGGTACACCTTAATAACAATTCTTTTACGATTTCAGTACGGATGACAATGTTTATCGACTGGTTATCCACTTGTTCACATATGTAGTTAACTGTTTCTACTAGAAGTGCATTTGTGAATAAAGATGTTATGTCCAGAGATATCATGGTTTTGTCCTTGATATTAATATCTTTGATTTTGTCTGCGAATTCAAATACACCTTTGACGCTATATTTCACTATCTTCTCATGCAAACGTTTGAGAATATTTACTACCCATCTGGCTAGAGCATAGTAGGGCGAATTTCGCATATCAAGTATTGGTTTCAACGGTATTCCCGGTTTATGCTCTTTAGGTAGGCCATACAATCTTGGCGTATATATGTCCGTTGGTCTGATTTCTTCATATGAACTTTCAGAAAATATCTGCTCCTCCCTTAGTTTCTTCAAATGTCTGGTTAATTCATTCTCTACTTTGTTATTGAAATCTTGCTTCTC